TTTTTTTCCCTTTTTCTTTTTTTTTTTAGATTGTTTTCTATCAGTTGTATTTGCAAGGAAGATTTAAACATAGATCAAAACAATCTCCAGGTACATATCTTATGACAAAAGACAATCTGGCATTGTTCCAGGTCTGAGAGGATTCCCAAGATCACAAACACTGAGACATGAAAGGTGCTCACACAAAAAACAGCTTTCCCTGCTTATTCCACAGATGAAGCAAGTGTGGAAGGGGCACTTAGCCCCAGGCAAGATACTTTTGGAGACACTTTAGGCAGCCCAAAGTGGATCTGGCTAGCAAATGGGATTATGATTATGCTTTCAGGGACTATTTGCACAGTACATTGAGGGAAAACATTGAGAGCCATTTCTTCATCTCCTGAAGGGATGAGAAAAGGGGGGAGCAGTTGCTGTGGCCCCAGAGCTTCTCTCTGCTTTGGGGACACTTCTGTGTTTTCCTCTGTCCATTGAATTCCCAACAAAGAATCAAAAAGCTACAGGAACTCCAGTCTGGAGTGGTCAGGACATGTGGAAGCAGGGGAATTTTTCTTCCCAGCTGGGATTGAGAGTGCAATTTCACACTCCTTTGGAGAGCATTAACTAAGACATCCCATTTCTGCCCAGGGATCTCCCAGGGGGAACTCAATCCGGGCTCTGGGCAGGTCTCTGCAGGTGTAGCAGGTTCCTCTGCACATTTGAGGGGATAAAGCTGCTCTAACCCTGCACTCCAACTACTCCACAGCAATTGATGACCTCTGAGGACAGTTCCCCACTGTTTCCACCCCAGCAGAGACCTGAACACATCCGGGGGGCACTGTGTGACCACCCCTGGCATTAACACCCTGCAGAGATGAAGACACTGACTGTAAAGACACTTGTCTACCTGTAAACCTCAACTTTCTTTGCTACTATACAGCAATAACATTTTCTATTCATATTGCAGCTACGGACTTAATAAATAGAATTGCATATATTGTGCTTTAGACATTAAAATGCATTCCAAAGTCAGGCAATGCTAAACAAGGAAAGTCTTGAACCCTCTCCCTCCCCAAACCAGCCCCACTTTCTGGTTTCAGAACCAGCCCACTTCCTCACTCTCTTCACAAAGGGAGAAACTCTCTCTTTCCACCTCTGAAACAAAAATTCCCTCCCCAAAAGTGATCAGAAAGAGTCTACTTAGGCACTACTGCAAATGGAAGTTGTCTAATAAGCATTCCTTCTAACTCAGGAAGGGGAGGAGGTGAAGAAAGTCACAACAAATGTTTGGATTCCTTCCTCTTTGACGTCTTTTCTTCCCTATCTGACACTCTGGGACAGGCTGGATCAACTTGCTCTAGTGGAAGGTGTCCCTGCCCATGGTAGGGGGTGGAATGAGAAGACCTTTAAGGTCCCTTCCAACCCAAACCAGTCCATGATTCTATACAGATAAATACACACAAGAACATTTATTCTACTACTTCAGACTAATGAAATCTAAATGCAAAACTCTCAAAAATTGTCCTTGGTTCGTTTTACATTTAAACAAATTGCTCCTCCTGGAAAGCTTCCCCCTAAAGCAGGAATGCAGCCCAAACCACCCTGGAATTCCAAGTCAGGGTCACTGTGCCACAGTTCAGAATCCAAACTCAGTTCAAGAGAACACACTGTTTGCATTTCACGTGTCCACATTCCAGCACCAGGCACCAACACTCCAGAGAGGGACAGCACAAGGGGCAGTGGTTTTAAGAGAAAAGAGGGAGGTTTAGATGAGATGTTGGGAAGAAATTCCCAGAACTTTGTTAGAAAGAGAAACGTGTTCTCACTTGACAGCGCAGTTCGGACTTGGGGGGTGTTGCCAGCAGGAACTGGACAAACTCCTTCTGAGAGGTGGGAGAGTGATCCTCAGCTGGCTGGGAATTCTGTTGGGAATGTTGTTCAACAGCTGACACAGACAGCACTAAATTACACATCCCCTGCAAGAGCAGGGCAGGTGCATTCAGGTCTCCAAACAAATTACCTTCAGGGCTATTTCCAGGTGTTCCATTAGCAAATCAAAACCAAAAAACCTGGCTTTCTGCAGGACACCTGGAAACAAAGAGTTTGTTATTTCCAGGGAACTGTTAATGCAGAAATCACCCTTCTCCCTGCTGGACAACAACCACAGACATTGTATTAGATGTAACTGGGTAGAGGAAAAGCTTGCTTGCAGCTAAAAGGAAAAAATCACTCAGCAGGATGTTTGCAACACCAGCATTGGGTTAAAGGTATCAGCTCCAGAATTCCAGCCAGACATGAATCCAGGATGGACAACTTTTAATACTCCCAAGATAAACAAAGAGCCTGTCTTCATTAAAGCAAGCAATCTTCATTAAATGAAGTAATCTTCCTTAAATCAAGCAATACCTTCATTAAATCAAGCAATACCTTCATTAAATCAAGCAACACCTCCATTAAATCAAGCAACGTGGAGCTGCAACGCTCAAGAATAAATCCCAAGCAAATAAATTCCAAAGAAAACCACGAGGATGAGCCCACAAAGGTCCCTCTGGCTTCACCTGGAGGGCAAAGCTTAATTCCCAAAGAGGAATAATTCAGATGTCAGGCAGGTAATACCTACCTAGCAAATTAATGCCATCATTTACAATGAGCTGTCCGTGACGCAAATAGTTCAAAATGGGCTCAAAATACTGGGGACTGTGGTCAGTTAGGAATGTTCCTCTATGATCCTGTTTGTTCCCCCAAGCATCTGTTTCCACAACATATATATAAATAAAAATAAATTGGGTATTTTATTATATCAAATTAAATTTGATCTGTTAATAGAAGAGCATTTGCTTCACTTGCAGAGTTTTATTACCAAAGGCAGCGGGATGTGAAAATTCCACGTGCGAAAGGGTGTTTTGTAAAGGAAGGAAAAGAAGAGTCGGGAGGGGGGGAAATCACCTTAAAATGAACTTGTTGCTGCTCTAAATAACTAAAATATTTTATCCAATACATAAGAATAAAAGCAGCACTAGGGTTCGAGTCTGACTGTCTCCCAAAGGCTGCCCCGGGCAGGGTTTGCTCATGGATTCTCCTGACGAAACTGAGCAACAATAACGTGAAAACCTAAAATCAAACAAACAAACAAAAAAGTACCCAAAATACCAACTGTGGATGGAAGTTGTATTTTCCCTTTGTGAGATGATAAACAGGTGGGGGCTGGGGGAGACCCGCAGGGGAGGGGGCGCTGGGAGGTCAGGAAGGGGTGAGGTGCTGCGGAGGCCCTGATGGGACAAGGGAGCGGGAAGCCTTGAGGGGAATCTGGGAGGGGGTGGGTGGCAGAAGGCTGTGAGGGGACAGACTGGGTGCAGGCCCCGAGGGGCAGGGTGGAGGGAAAGGCCCCCAGGACTTGGGGGGCAGAGGCCATAAGCAGCCCCCAGGCAGCCACCTCCTTCCCTGCCAGCCGGCTGCTCTGGTGCTTTCCCGAGGCATCTCCCAGCCCTGTGGCAGAAGCCCTGGAGGCCGGGCCTCAGCAGCAGGGTGGGCACACCCCCAGGGGGGCCAGGCTGGCCTGGCTGGGGACAAGGAGGGCAAGGGGCCCTGCCAGGGCACGTCCGCCGGGTGCTGCCGGCGAGGGGCAGTGGCACAGGCAGGGCTGGTGGCCAGCTTGGGCCCCCGCGGTTGCCCAGGCCACGGGGCTGTGGCCGACACCCCCCTGAGCCAGAGCTCTGGGCCCGCAGAGCTGCTGCCACCACGGGCAGGGCGCTGGGCTCCTCGGGCAGGCCTGCGCACTCGCTGCTGCCCAAGCGGCTCCGCGCCCCACAGACAACAGCACCAGAGGCTGCCCCGGAGCAGCAGCACCCACAACGCCTGGGCCTCCTCACCCAGGCACCCACACCCACCAGGACACCAAAAATGGGCAGACTGTGGGCACAATTGCACCTGCTTTGGCAAAAGGCTTCAGGGCAAGTGGCCACCACAGCTTTCCAGTGACTCCCCAGCCTCACAGCAACCCTTGGCAGCTTCAGCTGCAGCCTGACATCCTGACTGACTTCAACGGCCCTGCTTGAGGCTGGACACGCCTTCCACACTCAGCTGTCCCCAGCCAGCGCCACTGGTACCATCCTTAGAGACTCTGCTGGGACACCAGCCTCGGGCTGCAGCTGCTCAACCTCTCCTCCACGCAGGCACCTTCAAAACACGGGCATGGGCTTCTAAACTCTACATGCAGCACTTGAGGGCAACCAAGGAAGAAGCAGCAGAAGCTGAAGCAAAGCAGGGCCTCATGTGGTGGAGCTTCAGGGATGGAGGGAAGTAAACACTGTGGTGTGTGCTAAAGAGGTGGCCCAGTTCACATTCACCAGCTCACACTTTGCTGCTAGACATTCCTCCTTTGGTCCTGCTGGAGCCCATTCCCTACCAGTGCATGGCCCTGCCTTGTTCCCAGATCCAATCTCCAGGACCCCTGGCAACAAGTGGGCCCTGTGTCCACCTGAGAGCAGAAACTGGCAGAACATCTCTGCTTCCAGCACTTCTCTTGGATGCTCCTTCAGGTGGGTGGCACCTTCATGGGAGACACAGAACAGCTTCTCATCCCAGACTTCTCCCTGTCCCCTGCACTTCCCCAATGGACTGGACATCAGCTGCTGGCCACAGCTGAGCACACAGACACTGGAGTGTTGAACATGCAAGACTGGGCTGATTTTTTTTCCAGAAGGCAAGAAAATAAGCAAAAAGAACACAAGGAAGCTTGAGAGTCTCTCTCTGTCCAATCTAATTGTCCTGTGAAACTCAGCAGCTGATGGTGGTTTTGTGCTGCTGCTAATCACTTCCACCCAAAAATCATGCCAGGAAGGAGCAACAGCTTCTGCCTTCTGACAGATCCCAAGTCTTGCCACCAATTGCTCCAGCTGCTGCTCACAACAGCCACCTGCAAGAGGGTAGACCTCAGTGCCCCTTGGCTTTGGCTGCCCTCCAGCAGAGAAGTCCCCCGGGGGCACAGCTCTTTGGGGCAGGAGACGGGCAGCACCCTTGCCAGGACTCGGGGCAGTGGCAGGTCTCCTTCGGCTATGACTTGCCAGAGGCTGTCCCTCAAGAATCCCTGGAGCAGGCAGGGAATGCTGAGCAGAGCAAGCCCTGCCTGGATGTCTCATCAGGAAGACACTGTTCTAGGGGGAAGTCACTGGGTCTACCAACTCTTCCTGACTGGCTTAATGACTCAGCCGTGGTGTGTCCCTGTCACTCAGATTCTTTCTTGGCCGCACCTGACATTGTGATTCGTGTGACTGACAATACCTTTAACACCCCTGTAAGGAATCCTTGTTATTTTAGTTGTATCACAGATCGAAACGTATCTACCCTCCATTTGTCATTAATAATTCCCATGGGCAGAAGAGCCAAACTGGGGCTCCCAGGGAAGAAGAAGCTGGGAGGATGAGGCAGGATACAGTGAACGAGGGAAACTGTGAAATGCAGAAATCCTCAGTGGATGGCTGATTGCTTGGATCATCTCTGCAGCAATCCCGGCAGCTACCGCAGCCACGGCTCCTGCTGCACTGGCCATTCAGTGCAGGCCATGCCTGCAGTGCCAGTGTATGGGCACTGGGGCACCATCAGGAGCAGGGCTTTAATGATCTGTCTGGTTTCAATATTCCAAGTCCTCTGGGAGCACATGGGACAAGCCCCAAGACAAGGAGCCCGGGTCCTGGCCCTCTTGGCCGTGAACTCTGCGTGTCCAAACAAAACAGGGGCAGAGGTGGGACCAAGTGGAGTCACTCTGCACCTGCACTGAGTTCATGGGAATGCAAAGGGAGGATGGACCTTGGCTGAGTGCTTGGAGAGAGAGAAGGTTGTTTCTCCAAGTGGAAATGCACTTGAACCAGCCTGAATGACCAGCGTGTGCTTTTCTCTGGTGACTGAACACAGGCAGCACATGAGGGGAGGGGAATGTGTGGGATCAGGGCACTGCTTGGGGCGATGCTGGGAATTCCAGTGGACTAAAAGAGAAACACCGGGTGCTGCTCATGAGGAAAGAGGAATAAAAGGGGACAAGGAAAAGTGTCAGTGGACAAGTCCTGCAATGGAACTCTGTGTGTGCAGCCTCATTTTCTCCTTCAGCGCCCACAGGAGAGGGGGCAAAAAGTGGGGGTTGGGACCCCTAAACTACCTGGGGGGGGGAAATGGGGTATTGAGGGGATAATGGGAAAGTGCGAGGAACAGGGAGAAGAGTGGAAAAGAGGGGGTGGTCTGGAGGGTCCGACGGTCCCATGGAGGTCTTTGGGCACAGGGGGGCTGGGAAGGGGGAGTGGCCCCCTGAGCTCCCAACTTGCTGTGGGGTGCTGGGGGCTGCTGGATCCAATCTCAGCCTTGGATTATGACAATACTTTCAGTTTAGAGAAATTAGACAGGTGTGACTGAAACACTTTTGTTGCCCAGGTTTTAATAATGGCAAATCAGATCTATTAATAGAAATGAATTTATTTAGGGTTAGAAATGATCAGGCAAAAGATCATCATCAGAATTATTTACTGCACCACATAAACAATAAAACTACCAGGAGTACAGGATAAGATAGGACAGTGCTCTACACAAAAGCAATTGTTGAAGCATTTCTACTCAAGCTGGCACAAAAGCAATAATTCTTAATTAGAGATGGATGGAACTCCCCCAGACCAACGCTCATGGGGAGATCTCTGCTCTTAACCTCAAAGAGTGACCTTGGAGGGTCCCCAGCCAAGGCAGGAATCTCCATACACGCCCTTTAGAAGGGTTCTGTTGGCAGAAGATGCCCCTGGGAAAGGGGAGTGGCCCTTTGTGGTCGAAAGGGATGGACTGACAGTCACTGGACTCCAGGGGTTGCCTCACCATCAGGGGGTTCATTCGGGGTGGAAGCAGCGGCCGAAGCTCTTCCCGCAGTTGGGGCACTGGTAGGGCTTCTCTTACTGGTGGGTCTGTTGGTGTGAGGTCAAGTTAGAGCTCTGGCTGAAGCTTTTCCCACACTCCCCACACTTGTAGGGTCTTTCCCCGGTGTGGATGCGCCGGTGGGTGATGAGGGTGAAGTTCCGGCTGAAGCCCTTCCCGCAGTCGGTGCAGCGGAAGGGCCTCTCATCCGTGTGCGTCTGCTCATGCCTGAGGAGAGTTGAGCTGCGCTGAAACCTCTGCCCACATTGCGAGCACTTGTAGGGTCGTTCCCCAGTGTGGATGTGCTGGTGGGAGCGGAGGGTGGAGCTGTCACTGAAGCTCTTCCCACATTCCCCACATGTGTAGGGCCGTTCCCCTGTGTGGATGGCCTGGTGTCGGATCAGGTTGGAGCTCTGGTTGAAGCTCTTCCCACATTCCCCACACGTGTAGGGCTGTTCCCCACTGTGGATGTGCTGGTGGGTGACAAGGTTGGAGCTGTTACTGAAGCTCTTCCCACATTCCCCACACGTGTAGGGCCGTTCCCCAGTGTGGATGTGC